AAAAAAAAAAAAAAAAAAAAAAAAAAAAAATGCAGACAAGCATGAAAGGATATGTAAGATTATTGTTCGTACAATAGTACAAAATTGAAAAGTTTTTAAAAGAATCTGACAGTTGCATAGTTGTTTGTTATTAGTTGTATTAATTTTTTACACTTGAATGACCGAGTGGATTCACACAGGTCACTGCCTGGGAGTATAGGTATGGTTATATTTGTATATACTTCCTGTATTGATTTTGAGCATCAAGAAGTGTGAGTAACAGCCTGGCTACTTGTAATCATATGATCCATATTGATTTATTAACAACAGAAATGGCCAAAGAAGGAAAGTCTGTAACCTCAACACTCCAAGAGGAAAATCTTAAATCACAAGATGATGATGATGACACTATCCAGGAATCTGACCCACCTAAAGATAACACAGAAGAGATAGCTACTGAACAGTCTTCTGATTTCTCCCCCCCTAAACCAGAATCTGCACCTGTTGTTGCCCCACTTACAGTAGAAGATGTGATTAACCTACATTCTCCAGATCAGAAACCTTCAGACGCCTCTCTCATTGTAAATGTTGATGATATGCAGAGTGATTTGGATGGAGATTTAGAAGGTACATTAAGTGAAGCGGGTAGTGAAAAATATCGTGAGGATAATAGAAGTAATTCTAATAATTCAAACGATGACAAACAAGGACTAATATCTGAGTGTAAAGATAAACAAGAAGATGAAGATGCATCTAAAACAAGGACAATAGATCCCGAAAAAGAAGAAACCAATCTTGATAACTCGAGCTCAAGCAGTCAGAAAAAGACCAATCATGCTCAAGAGGCTGATGAAGCAGCCACAGAAGGTGAACAGCAGAAGCAGGAATCAGCAGATAAGAAAGAAGCAGTGCAAGAAGGGGGGAATATTTCAGTTACTGAAACAGCAGAACAACAACCAAGTGCTGCAACAGATGCTGCTAGCAAGGCTAAGAGGTTTGTCTCTTCTCCATTAGAAACTTCCTTGAAGGTGAAAGATTTCTTTTCAACTTTTGATTTACAAAACAGTAAAATTCTTTAGCTGATGAAAACAGACATATCTAGGTTTGGGCTGCAAGTTTATTATAACTGTAATTATGTAAAAAGTCTAAAGGTTTTAGGGGAAAAAACAGCTTGTTGGATTAATCAATATCATTGTATCATGTAACAATAGTGATATTATTAATTTTCTTTTAAATTTTTCATTCATGCATTAACTTTCAGTAGGTTTTGAGGATAAATTTAGTTTTATAGTTTTTTAATTTAAATTGTTTATATTTTAAATGATTTGTAAAAAGTGTTTGTAAAAAATTGAAATGCTTGTATGGCGAAAAAATATATATAAATGAAATAATGCAAGTTTTGTAATAATTGAGCATTTTTGGTTTTCTCATAGCACCGGTCTTAAAGATAACAGAAGTGCATCAAAGGATGAAACAAAAGGTATTATAAATAATATGATTGTGAAATGCTTTCTTTTTGTGAGTATGATTTACTTCAAAACATTAATTATAATTTGGCAATTTTTTTTTGAAAGGTAATGAGGATAAGGTTTTAGTTTCTGTGGAAAATATTGTTTTAATTAATATTCTATTTTTACACTTTCTTTTTAATGATCATGTTCTTACCGGTACACTATTTTGAGTGGGATATTTTGTCTTGTTGTTGATGTAACTTGTCTGAACTTGTACTGATCCTTTCTCTGAATGGAAATATAAAAACAGAAATGGATTCTCTGTGTGATTGGTTTAAATTTTGACTTGTGTTACCTTTAAATATAAGTTGGAGTCTGGTAGTTTCAAATATACAAAACCCTGATTTAGCCCGATGTTGAGTATTAGAAATGTTGAAAGTTCACTTTAAACAACCGCTGTAAGAAAACTTTCTAGACACTTAGTTTATAGCATCTTTCTTTGTTATTACAGGAGAACGAGTTAAGCGTGTTGTTGCAGCAAGCAGGAACTTGTGGGTTAGTGGTCTGGCTGCTAATACCAGAGCTGCAGACTTGAAGACATTGTTTAGTAAGCATGGAAAGGTAAAAAGTTTCTTGTGGCTTAACATAGGTTATGCTTTTGCAGAATGTACAATTAGTATTTTAATTATCTAAATATTTGAAAAGGAAGGTTCTACTAGAGTTAAAATTCTAAAAGTGCATAAATTTGTTTAACTCATCATGATCAACAATGATGTTAGTTCAGAAATTAATTTTTAGTTTGTCAGCTACTGTGCATTTTTTGGTTAATGATGTTTGTAAGATAAAAAACTGAATAAACATTGAGGCTGTGGCGAAATAGAAATCACTATATTTCTTATAATATTTCACGATACGAGACTACATTCAAGAACACATGCTCAAAACTGCATTTATAAGAACAGGTCAGGAAGTCCTTTAATATAGAGAACAATTGTGCTGGAACTCCTCTGTGTGCATTATTTGTTATATCAATCATAACAGTTGTGAAAGAGTTTTTAAGTATGTGGCAACATTAAGAATTTTTTCTCCTCACACTTTCAACATCAGCTCACCGGTGCTGGATTTCTTGTTTAGTTCAGGTGCTAAGTGCATGAATGTGCATAAATATTGGACAATTCCAAATTATCAGAAAGGCTGAAAATGAGCAGTGGCTAAGGTTAAAAGAAACATTTACCATAAAGAACTTAGCACTTAACTAAACAAAAAATCCAGCACTGATGAGCTGATGTTGAAAGTGTGAGAAGAGAGAAAAAAGTTTACATGTTTGAAATGTGTTATTTATGTAAACATTAAGAATATTGTTGATACTGCTCTTTCACCCTTTTTTTTTTTTACTCGAATGTTTTATTGTGCAGTTATACAAAAAATATTTATTTTAAGTGTGTAAAGCAACATGTATGCTGGGGTAACGTGTAAAAAAGAACTGGCTAGTCTGTGGCCACCTGCTTTAAGCTGTGGTAAATGATTGGCCCGTTCAACTGTTAACTCTCTTTTGAAAGAAGTACGAAATTTTGAATCAAAATTAAACTTAATTTTCAACAAATGTGATGTACAAAAACAATTTTCATATGCTTTTTCTCTGGAGTGAACATTGTGTTGTGTATAGATGTATCTTAAGTTCTACTTAATAAAATAAAATCAATAGTTGTAATAAGCCTTGTATTATATAAAGCTCAACTCTTAACTGCTCATGTCAGACGTAGATGAGTCGTAATCATTGCTGAAATGAAAAATCACCTAAAGCAAATCAGCTATATTGTTACACAGAGTGAAATAAACATTGAAAATATGGGAGCAGCTGAATCTTAGAACAAAGCAAACAAAACTTTTTTTTTTATGCTTCAACTGACCTTTGCATCATCGGAGTCGGACATGTTATCAAATATCTGCTGTCACGTGGTTTACTATTAGCAGATACAGTGGAAATTAATTACAGTAAACAGGCATGTGAAAGTTTTAGTAGTTGTTACTCAATTGTTGCTTTTTGATACTAAATGCTGTGTTTATTAAGGATCTTTCTAAGAGCAAAACATACAACAAGGTAATAACTAGTGCACTTTGAAATTAAAACAAACCAACTTTTTATTGTCTAACTTAACAGACTTTTCTTGGCAAATTGGGTTCTGTTCTAAACACTGGCATTAGAAGATTTAAATGTTTTTTAGACCTTTTGCCTAATTTTTCCATACACCTATATTCATGCTCATTTTAATTTTTCCAACAATGGCTTCTGTGAATTTTTCAGTTTAAAAGAAAATGTTGATTTAAGGTTTAAAAAAAGTTATGCGTGTATTGTCTAATATCTCGGACAAGATTCAAATGCTTTTCCCATTTTTTTTTTTTATTTGTACTGTCAGCTGTCAAGAACAAGTGCAACCTATGATAATAAAGTAATAGTTAGATTATAAAACTTGGTACCTTTCCACCCCCTCAAAAAAAATCTTTCTAATAAATAAAATGAAAAGAAATATTTACTTCCGTTTTTTTTTAGTTGTTATTATTTTCTGCGCGAAAGAAAGAAAAATTTAAAATCTTAAACTGACTTAGATTAGAAAGGTTAAGTTGCTTTTAATATTATGTAAGAAGAACGTGACCACAGATGGACAGTTTGTTAGTAATTATGACTAAATGAGGGAGCGAAGAACAATATATATAAAAGAATATATGTTTATTAGGACACATCCGACTACAAAATGCTGGCATAAAAAATGTAAACATGTTTGCTTTCTAGTAGTAGAAGCTGTGTTAAAGTGTTCCACTCTTTAAAAATCAATGCTTAATGAGTTACATTTATCTTAAATATTTGTGTAATAGACTTAGGTGCGTGTAGGATTGTTTTATATTTCTGAAGAACCCTCGTCCTACTGTTTGGTGTTACGATAATAAATCTTTCATGAATGGTTTCATTTTATGATGTGCAAAAGAGTTCAATGCTTCAGTGATAAATTAATCATGATAATTTTACTGCTTTTTAATTGTATATTTAGATTTAAAAACTGCTTGCACTGCTGTATTTACTAAAGTCTTCTAAAGAATGTTTAATTGAATATTGAAAACTGGTGTAACGATAATTATATATTGTAAGTTTTTGTGAATTTTGAACATTGAATTTAAGGTTGAAGTGTACATTTATATCATTATAATGATTTACTTGATGATGGGTGCCCAAGCTGACTACGTACGTAATTGCGTAATAATTGGAAATTATAATTACATGGCTTTTTTTTAGGTGGTTGGTGCAAAAATTGTTACAAATGCCAAAATTCCTGGATCTCGTTGCTATGGTTTTATGACTATGGCAACAAGTGAAGAAGCTTCAAAGTGTATACAGCATCTTCACAGAACAGAATTGCATGGAAAGATGATATCAGTTGAAAAGGTAATATAAGACTTAATTATAGAAAAAATATCCATATTGTATTTGTTTGTTGTTTTTTGTCTATTTCTTGTATGTTGGGAAGTATGTAAAAAAAACAACAAATACTAAACTTTAAAGGTTGATCGTAAAATCTCTATTTCTTGTTATTACTTAAAACCATTGGAATGTTTACCTTAACAGAGTGTATTATAAAAAGTAAATGGAGTTGTATTTGTGGTAAAATGAAAAGTACAAGTGATCTTGATAGTTCTGTTATTTTTAATGGCTGTTTTAAAACTAACTAGGAATAGTATCTTAAATTGATGGTATTAGGATAAGTATCAAAAATAAGTGGTCACTAGGTTGTAATTGAGACTTTTAAGATGTTACCCCTTATTGTATCAAATAATTGTTAACACACGTGTGATTGGATTCTGTAGCTAGAACATGTTATCCATTGTAGCTTTCAAGCATTATTACCATTACTTTCAGTTGGAAGAGACTAACCGAGTTTTTACTTTTAACTTTCCCACTAATTACAGACCAAACATGAACCATTTGGTTTGAAGAGAGTTGAGGGAAAACCAGGATCTGGAACTGTCAAAAAAGTAACAGCCAAAGATCCAGGCACAGTTAAAACTGCCACACCAGCAGCAGTGAAGAAGACTGAGAAAGGTGGGTGATGCTTTGTTGTATTTGTAGTTTTATTCTTTAAAACTTGTGTTAATTGCAGACATTTCTTTCACCTATGTATAATGGGATGTTAGAAGAGTTACCTGTTGACCATGTGTTTCAATGTTATATTCTTTGTCCTGAATTCTTTGCAATAATTGTGTAAAATTTGAGTGTTTACCTTTGGTATATCTTTGTCACAGAGCATTATATGTAGTGTTGTAACCCAGCCTACCTGACGAGATTTAGTATTCAGTGTAAGATCTAGATAACGGAGGCACACACACACACACACAGGTTAAATGCCATTATATATGTTCTTCTTATTTGGATAGTTATTAAAAGGGTGTGATATAAATTACACAGGCCTGCAATGGTTTTATTGTCTTGAAATTTTTACATGTTCTACAGTAATTCCTGTAAGCTGAATCCAAAAATATACATTTTTCACCATCTCACACAGATTTTTTCGCAAAACATCATAATGAAATACATAAAAGAAAGACCACAACACGTAGTTTTGAGACTAAAAAATCAGGATGAATGAGGATGTATATTCGTTTGACATCAACATTCTTCCCTTCAGTTTGTTTGTATTTTTGTTAACAGAAAATAATAGTAAAAAATATTCATTGTGGTAAACAAAATAATAATTGGATCTAAGTAAGTTTTTTTTATTCTTCCCAATTTTTAAAAAATCCTTACACGATTGAAAAAAATGAATATTATTTTCAAAATCTGCCTAGCTGAATTATGGAAAATTCTGTATTAAAACCAAACAACTTTTATGACGTAAAAATTCACAGGCCTGTGTTGTCAGTCATTGTGATCTCATATCACACACACTCATTACTACTAAATTTTATGTGTATTTTGTATTTATTTTAATGTTAATTTTAGTTTTTAAATGTTACAGGTATGTATTTCATTGTTTGTGTTATTGATGCATATTGCTTGCTCTTAACACTTTCTTGAATGGAGAGGTTTCACTGATACCATTTTTTTGTTTTCTAACAGTGGAAATATTTATTTAAATTGCATGAAACTTAGAAAACTTATTAAATAGGATCTTGCTTTGGCCTAAAAAATACCCATATTTTGATTTATTTTTTTCTATAATTTTAATGGGGTAAAATTTTTAAAATTTTGTTCGGAATGCTATTGTAAATATAAAAAAATAAAAATAGTTATTTGGTTTTATAACTTAATTTTCTATACATATATTTTTAATATTGATCATAATGTTTCATTTCACATATCTAATCAGTTTCAACTTGAGTGATGTTTATTAAGATATTTTTTGATTCTATATTTTGACTGTAGTAGTCACAACTATTATCTATAAATTGTAAAAAAAAACATGCAGAAACTGACAACAAAATAGGGCAGGATAGACTAGGCCTCATTATTTTTACTAAAATGATTCTTGGTCAAAATCAATTTATATTTGATAAATATACTTGATAATAAATTATATATTCATTTATTTATGTGCATTGTTTTAACACAATAAATTTAATAATATTCAGTAAATAAGGGGTGGAGTCACCAGAATACTTTGCTGTCACCTACTATTTTCTCTAAACTTAATTGGATTAGGCTTGCCTGATGTATTGTAATACAGGTACACCACCGATTTTCCGGCACTCTTGGTTCCAGAGCCTTGCTGGATTATCCATTTTGCCAGACCAACAGAGGTCATGTTATAATAATTCAACAATTCACCTCTGACCCACTAATTATACCCCGCCAGTGTCTCTAAAGCACCATGGACTGCTAGAAACATGAATATAACAAATGTTAAATGTGAATTAAATGATTAATGAAATACATTAGTACAGGTATAAATGATACAAGTTTATTAGTACAGTATAAATAAAAAGGTGCAGGTTTATTAATTACTCTACTTACAAGGAATGTTGCAGTAGTACTGCTCTCAAAGTGGCAAATTTTAGAATTTGACTGAATTTTCATACGCTATTATCAGCATTCGATGTTGTAAAAAATTGAAGAAAAATTCGAAATTAAATATTTGTATCTTGTTAAAAAAACATATTCTTGGCAACATTCTTGAAAAAATTCAAGAAATTTGATCCACTAGTTTAAGATTTATAAGAAAATTTCACAAGACTGATGTACCTCCTTAAAATGTAAGTAGTCTTCCCGGAAAGAGCGTGTGCCACACGCAATGCCATCTGTGGCCTTCCAGTGAAGTAGTTTTGCTGGATTTCAAGTGCGCTCTCATAATTTTGTCCAGATTAAAGGAGGTGCCAGAAAATTGGTGGTGTACTGTACAGTAAAATTTCCCATAGCTTACAAAAAAAAAATGTAATTTAACATGGGAAAATATTTAAGAATGAAAAAAATGTCTAAAGAAACTTAAAAACATTTCCAAATCTGTTGTTTTTTCCCAAGTCGTCTTCTAGTGGTGGGTGATGTTGACTACCTGCCTACCTTCTATCCTATTGGTTCTAAATTAATGATGGATATTTGCAGATAATACTTGTGTAGCCTTATCCAAAAATTCTGAAACAAACCTGTTACTAATGAACTTTTTCCATTAACAATGCTTGGAGATGGCTTGAATGGGTAATGAAGAAAAACTGTAATACAAGTTTAGCATAACAGCATATGTACAATGTTTCGACAAGGTTTTGACATCATCAGCATTATTAGTCTCAAAGTGGGTTCCTCGTCATTGAATCTGAATTTTTCCATTAACATTATGAATGGAAGCAAACTATATGTAATATATATATATATATATTATATTATATATATTGTGGTATGTTAGAATACTATGTTCATATAGTGTATGTACTTGATAGCTGAAGAAGAAAAGAAAGAAGGAGAGGCTGAAATAAACAAAGACAATTCTTCTGAAGAGCCTAAAGGAGAGGAGGAACAAGCAGAGCAAGGTTTGTTTCTTAATCTGTATTTTGTGTTTGTAAGTTTGTATTAGTGTATAGTATTATTAAAATAACTTTTTCTGGTTGTTGAATCTGGGTTTGTTTAGCTTGGTGTTGATATTGCTGATTAAAAATGAAAGTCCTCGAGTTTGTCAACTACGTTCTGAACTACACAACACACCATATTTTAGAACATCAGTGAATCTGTTATCATGTTTTTCATTAACAGTTTTGATTTGCAAAAATTGGTTATGGTAACTTGCATTTACTATAGGTGAAGAACAAATATCACTTGAAGAAAATAAGGAAGAAAATGAGGAGGACGAGGATGAAGGTTCCAAAGAAAAAGACAAATCAGAAGAAAAAGAAGGATCTGTGCACAGCCGTTCCAAAGGCTATAGCACAGATCGAAGCAGGCGTGGATTTACTCGTCGACCTCGTCCATTTGGAGGCAGGGGAAGAGGAAGTAGGTTTTATGGTGGTAGAGGTCGTGGTTCATATAACAATTTCAGTGGTTCTAGAAATTTCTCACAACGACGGGATTATGGTAGAAAACCTTTTTTGCCTAGATTTGGATCTCGTTTTAACAGATCGTCATCGTTTCCTTTCCAGAGGTTTAAGGTTAGTATTCAAATCAAAGTTGTTCTTTGTATCACTAAAAATAAAAGTTCTTGATTGGATTAGCATTTTGCACTTATTAAAATTGGCAAAAATGACGTATACATTGTTTTTAAATCTGTTTTAAATGTTTGATATGTCTGATTATTGCATTTATACTTAATGTAGAACAAAATTTGGGATTAGTGCTACATAGGAAAGCATTCATTTTAATAGTTCAAAATATCCTGTAAAATAAATTGGCAATCATTAACATTGTGTACTTGATCTTTTGCTTATTTGCATTTAGTAGTTTTGTTAAATGTTATTTGAATGTTTTCTGCATTCTTTAAAAAAAGGTTTGAGATTTTCAAAATATTAATTATGAAATGTTTCTATATTGCAACTTTTTATTATTATTATAAAACAGTACTTGAGCTCTATGGCAAATACTATAATATGTGTTTCAATTAAAGACAAATAGGGTTTAAAATATCAAATTTTTGTTTTAAAGAACTAAGGAATTGAATGCATCCAAAGCATTATACTTTTTTTTTTTTTGAGCAGCCTGCTAACAATTTTTCCTAAAGATTGGTAATTAATTTAGTTCTTAATAAAGTCTGTCATGTGTTGTTGTTTTTTTCCCTTATTATATAATATGTTAATTGAATCTTTACTCTTAGGTTATCAAAATGTATTCTGTTATAATTGCCTTCTGTGGTATAACCTTTTTCACATGCTCAAATTATTCATAGTAAACACTGAAGAATTCCTGGCATGATTTTCTCACGTAAAGCTTTAATATGACCTTGTAGCTCCATAACTAGTGCCTAGTTGCCTAGTGGGTGGCATGATCTTGTAGCTTCATAACTTGGCTAGATGTTGCCTGGTGGGCAGAATTCTGAAACTGAATGTGAGGGTTCACTGTTAATGCTTTATTGTCTTAAAAACCTACACTTTGGGGCTGTGGGCACACTATAAAAGTGATAGACAAATTCCACTGTTTGATCTGAAAATAGTAGTGCAACAGTTAGTAGTGGGTGTTGTTGACTTAGTTGCCTTCCCTTAATTCAGAATTAGGGACAGCTAGTGCTTGTGTAGGCTTGCATGATTTTCTGAAACAAACTTAGTACCTATATTAAAGGAATGATACACCTGAACTAAAAAAAGGAAAATATGAAATATTTTGTATTAAACTAAGGCATTCAAATTTTATTAACAGCTGTAAGTCTTTTGCATATTAAAACCACTTGGTATTAATTCATACAATTACCAGAATGGCTGATATATACAAATGTTTCCTAATTCTGTCAGCTCTTTTAGTATGGAAAAGCACTAGAAAGTTCTTCAGAAATAAAGTACCCATAATACTTATTTGTGATTGTTGTTGAAGCGTGTTCTTGAACTTGTATTTATAAGTTGTAGAAAAATATGACCTTAGTTTTTCTATATATATAAAAGGGGGAAATCATATGAAAAATATTAACACAAATTTTGTAAAAAAAAAAATGTTACTACAATTCAACTACTGTTTCTTTTTGCTGGAATGTAATTTTTATGTTGTATGTTATAAAACTTGCAATTAAAGAGAAAACCATATGGAGAAGAACTTATGAAACATATTGAAACTTCATTTTTTCCATGTGATAATTCCATTGTTTGTAGTGTTATTTATGTATGTAAAAAAAAGAATATTACGTTTCAGAATGAGCTCTCATATTTATTACGTATATTAAAAGACTTAATTCATGTATAGTATTCGTAAAAGCTTTAAAGTACACTTGTTTTGTTTATAATGATTAGTAAGACTGAAATTACATATCTCAAGGTTTTGTAATTAGATGAAAGACTAAAATTTTTCTTTTTTCGAAACAGGATAATAGGTTTAACCGTCTAAGGGATCGAGATGTTGAAAGACGTCGAAGTCAAGAATATTTCAGACAAAAAGAGATAGAAAGAAAACAGAGAGAGGAGAGTTTCAAACTGGATAGAGAGAGAGAGAGATTACGGTAATTGAGTGTACAATGAATTGTAATAATGTATATTGTAGATTTGAAAATTTTTATAGGAAATTAAATGACTGACTAAACTGAATTCTCATTTCATTTTATGTTACATATACTTCATTGTATGTGTGTCATTCATTAGAGGTAGAAATATTAATTTTGTATTATCTTTTAGTGAAATTTCAGAAAAATGTTTGAGAGTTAATTCTGTTGTTACAAACTTCAGATTTGGGAACTATTTTCGTAAACCTTCCTTATATTTTATATGCTTGCCAAGGTGTCGTATTCTTTAATTTGACTACGTGATTTACAAGACAAGCTGAGGGATCCATTCTATGTCTGGAAACAAGGATTGAATGTAGGGCTTGAACTAATAAATTAGATCAAAAATTTGAATTTATATACATAATTTATTTCTCACCTACTTTACACGTTATAGGAATGGTGTTACGTAGAAATGAATATGTGAAAAGCAAGAGGTTTTCAGGTGTAACCCTGCCACTATAAGAGCTTGACCTTGTGCTTTGGTAGCCATTTTTCCTGTCAAAAATATGAATGTCTGACATTTTTAGTGAAATAACTCAAACTTTTCCAAGAAAAAACTAAAAAAAATTTTATTTTTTTCAATTAAAAATTGGTCCAATTTTCTGTGGACGTGGCCCAGGGTGTGTGGAGCCGTGTGATAACTGCCCTGTAACATGACTCTTGGTTCAATGTATCATCCTACCAAGTTTATTTGAGATTGGTCCAAAGACCATGGAGTAGTTCATGGACAAAATAAACAAATTTTTTACTTTAATAAGTATAGATAAAATTGTTTTCCCAAGATTAAAATTTTCTACATACTTTTGGAAATCTTTGTTGAACTTGCACCCTTTTATTTCATCTTAGTATTTAATGATAAATGCCTGGGGGGTATACATGTTTCAAATAATTTCAGGTCTTTAGTTGGCTATCCAAAACTAAGGATACTATATAATGAAATTTATAATCTTATATTCTAAGAACTTATGATTGAAAGCAAAGAATAATGTTATGCTAACCAGACTACAAACATCTACTATATCCAGTGCTGATAAGGCCTTTTGCCTTATACCAGGGCACATTGGGCCAGCAGGGATACAACAGATATAGTTATGGTCTAAGTGCTATGTGTGTGTATATATCATCAGTTTTCATGAACAATAACTTTTAGGGTGCGAGTAAGATTAAGTGAATTGTAATTATTGCTTTTGTGTAGTGTAAAATGTGCTTTTGTATCATCATGCTTATTAAGCCTAAAACACCACTACTGAGAGATTGATAGGATAGATAAAAGTTTTCTATTTAAATAATATCACAGATACGTAGTTTTGTTTTAAGTGGTCCTGTAAAAATCAGTTTAGATGTACAGTTTACGGGACTGTTTCTTGCTAGTAGTTAGATATGCTCAGCAATAACCAAGTGCAGCCAAGCAAAAACTTTGTTAGTCGGAGAAGAACAAGCCGTCTTTCTGATCTTTGTAACTAGTAACCTCACACCTTAATTACATAGAGCCTCTGTGTATCTTAGTGGGCTTGGTATACTGCAATTAATGTTACCTACTAGCAGAGGAGAGGTGTTACTTCTTTTATAAAGATGTATAAATAACAAAAGGTTAATTTGACTGATGACATTAGTTTATATCAGATTACAATGCAGCATGAGAAAAAGCTGCATTGTAAAAGTTTTAAAATAGTATTAATAAAATGTATCAAACAGTATTTTTTCTGTAGCAGTAGTGTCAAAACACTTGAGATATTTTTTGTACTGGGATGTGCGGAACAGAAGAGCTTGACTTAAAAATCATGCTTTGGTAAAGTGACAGTCATTGAGGCCTAGCAAATATTACTTTTAATTTTTTAGGAGGTGGCTGTATTTTAAATTGGCTTTAATGTTCAGTCGTTTAGAATAATAGAGGTAAATTGAATAAAAGGTTATGATCCTTATAACAGCATTTTTTTTCATTATCCTGTTTTTCAATGTTTCAAAAAGTTTTCAACTAGAGGTAGCCTAATCTGTGTTAAATTCAAAACTTATTACATATTTAAAAGAATCTTTTTTGGAATATTAACCAGTTTGCTTTGTTTTGTTTATAGGTATGAACGTGAAAAGCTGGAGAGGGAACGTGCTGAAATTTTGAGACTGGAAAGAGAAAAACAAAAAATGGAAAGAGAGCACTTAGAAAGAGAACGAGAAGAATTGAGACGTAGACAGCAGTTCAGGTATGAAGTCAATAAATATATCATTTTTTTAAAAATTAGTTAGCATAAAAGAAATAACATTTTGTAATCCTTTCCAGTCCACTAGTTCATTTGGAACCACACTTCTTTTTTTTAAACTGGGGAATAAAAATCAAAATTAAGGTTCAAATTTTGATTTTATTCAAAATGTTTTATCCAAAATAAATGATAATGAAATCATATTAAAAATATAACTTAAATATATTGATATTTTAATATGGCGAACTCAACTTTTCCAGAATTATATCTCCAAGCATGAGACTTCCAGACTGTTTCACTAGCCCTGAATTATCAACTTAAGATTATCATTTAAGTTTATTATTCATACCAAACAGGATAATAATTTATCTTTTCCTGTTTTTTTTTTTTGCATGAAAACAATTGACAACCTTATATGCAAGCTTTCTAAGGAATTTCATTCACAAAAGGAGGTCAAACTTTAGGAAACAACTTTCAGATTTTTGTGAAGGATATTTTGTAATTAAATGTTTTATGACTTTGGCTAAGAATGTTTTGATGTATGAGTGAATGGTGAGTCCCAAGAAATAACACCTAAAAAATCACATATATAATATTTAGAAATTGAAAAACCTATGTAATAAGTTTCAGTGCCTGTGTGTCACATAACTTTTCCTAAACTGCTGGCTGAAACCGACTTTGAAGTGCAAATGAATTGTCTCGGGTTTTGTGGTTTGCACAAAAATAAACCTTTTACCCCACCCCTTGGGAATCTCATGGATTTCCTGAAAACTGCTGGACTCTTCAACTTTTAAATGGTGCCAAATGAATTGTCTTGGCTCCAAAGTTTGCACAAAGTTAAAAATTTTCACCCAAGCTCTTAGGGAACCTGAGTGTTTCATGAAAACACTTTTACTGGGTTTCTCCGAAAGCAGACTAGAAATTTGGCATTGATTTATATTACAGCATGTAAATAAGTAGGCCTCTTAATTACTTTTTGTAAGTTAGTTAAAGAAGTTAAATTTGAATTATAGCAGAAATGAAAGTACCTTTTAACATTAAGTTTAATGATGAAAGCAACATTTTATTTATTTATTATATATAAGTAGAAAAACTGAATCTCAAACTGTGCAAGTGTGTAGTTTACTGTACTTTTCACAAAATTATCATAAACATCATTAAAATGTATGCAATCTATAATGTTGCATACAAACTGGAAGATACTGCAATATAAACATATGCAGAATACATTTTAATCCTTGAGCAAGCAATATAACTGTAGTTTGACAATGATGCAACTGATAATGGGAGAGAGGGGTCACATTCATAAAGTTAGACAATGGTGGATGCCTTGCGAATTAGCTGTAAAATTAATTTACTCTGTCCTTTAAAACTATTCTGACTACTAGTTCAGTTCGTTTTTGCAGTAAAAATCTTAATAGATCGATTTTCAAGGAAATATTGTTGGTTCTTGTTCATGTTGTATATTATAGAATTTAGTTTCAGGTTATTACAGGTTTTTTTGTTTATCATTTATTCATATAAAAAATAGGTTATTTATCAACATGGAAAATATGTAGTGTCAATTACATGGGCATAAATGGTCACTATGAAATTGATTTTTGTCGTTTTTACAGTTTTGGGTATTAATACATTATTAAAAAATATGGATTTTGGCCCACTTGCAGATTAAATGCTGTTGGTGAAAATGATTAACAATGGAGAAATGTATGCTAATGATTTTGATAATCATTATCAATTCTTAATACATCTTGCTATTAAAACCTTGTAGGTTATTACCCAGTAAATTTTATTTCTATTTTGAAAAAAAAATTTTATGAATAATTAAACTAAACATTATTATAAATTGCAAAACAAAATACATTTTTACTGTTTTTTTGTGGATTATTAGTAATTCTCTGTGAGGAGAAAAATAGTATAAAATAAGTCTAATGGGGTTTTACAAAGAAGTTTTCTTGATGTTATAATTATCAGTAAGTTTGAAATAAATATTCAGCTAAATAGATTTATGAAAAAAGTACCTAGAATTTTAATTGAAGTTTTCTAAATGATAAACCAAGAGTTTTATCCCTTTCTGAATGGTATTATTTAAGGTTTAATCTGGCTGTTAGAATAAGAGTTAATGCTAATTCATTTGCATTTTACTTGTTGTATTGAATATTATTCCATAAAATAACTTATGATAAACATTTACATTTATTGAGTAATTAATAAGGAACACATTATGCAAACACTGTCCGAAGTCCACGTTATGATAGGGGTAATATTATTAACATATGTAACATAGAATGTAATACACAGGTTGAACATAAATACCAAGTTCTTTGTTTGATTCTGAAGGAAGTACTTTAATAAGTAACTTTATTTGTCTTCAGTCGAATGGATGAACCAAGGCGTGGATCCAAAAGGAATTTCAACCGCACTGGTAGCAGAGAGTCGGACCCATATTGGGAAGACAGAAAGAGACCTGCACTCTCTTCTCATTTCTCCCGTGATGGTTCTTTCCACGGTGAAAGTTCCAACAGGTTTGTAATTACTTTTTTAACAAAACCCTTTATAAGTATGAAAACTACTTTCATAAGAATACCTCTAAAGCCAAATGTTCTTTATAATTAAATGTGCCTCCTAACTTTATAGCTTTCATGAAGTATGTATAGTGTCTGCATGGATATATTTATTGTTATTAAAATACACATTTTCATGTAAGTATATTTTATTTCATGGATATAACGTTTTGTTCAAGCTTTATATTTTGACATTAACAACACTAAAAATCCAATTTTCATTGTTTTAATCAGCTGGCAGTGTGTGATAAGACATATCTAATTTCAAAGATTCTTTTTAATGCCTGAATAACTGTTCTTAAGTTAATGTCACATAACTATAAAAAATATTTAACATTTTTATGTTAGTTACGTATTATATTAGTGTACAAATTATTTTTTCTTTCCTGTTTTACTTGGTGTTTTGGACCTTATTTTGGTGTCCATCAATAAAATTTACTCTGATTTTAATATCTTTTAATTACCCGCATCTCCAGTTGTACAAATGTTTGCTTCAGTGGTGCGTTCAACATTTTCAGGGATGCAACATCTCTAGTTTGCTGTGCTTTCTTGGTGCACAATCACAAGTACACTTAAACAGCTGATAAATAAAACTTTAGAAAACTTCATCTACTAGTTTTTGTGAAAGCCTTCTACAGCATTAATCAAAAACTGCTTTCGGTTATGTAGTCTGCATTGCATTTTAAACATTATGTAGTTGTCTGTTTGCAGCATGTAAATAACAAGTCGGAAAGCATTATCAAAGGTATACATAAAATGTTGTATGTGTGTGATATATATGAAAGAAAACAAAGTGAAATGTATTGTAGATATCATTCTAAAGTTAAAATATATTCTACATTGAAACAAATTAATGAATCTTTGTTTGAAGAAATGTTTTCATTATCAAGCAATGGTTATTTCAAAAGCTTCGGACATTCAGTAAATATAAATTTGAGAAAGCTGGAAATGTCTGCACGTGTGCACACACACACACACTCACACAACTAATAATTACATAAAATAATGATTTTGCTATATTCGTATTTGTAATTATTATTACTACATATATGTCCTTTTCCACCACCATTTTAATGTGTTTGAAATGTTTGTAAAATATACAAATATGAGAAGTTTATGTAAATACTATCAATATACAACCTATTAAGTTTGTAATATTTTTTGTACAGTTTTTTATTTAACTGTAAATGGGTAGAAGTTAGCATCCTTTGAGTTGTGTTGTATGTAAGAAAAACATCACAATCTGCCGTTTAATCCAATCATAGCTCAATAAAGGCTTATCTAATGAAATCATGTAAGTCATGAAAGTTCAATGCTATGGGAAGAAAGGTAATATTCATTAATTTTGAAGTTTCACTTGTTCTCACTAATAATAAAAGCTGTGGTAATTTAGGACTACAAAACTAGATGTCAGTATTGTTAAGCCTAACATTTTTGATCAGAACACACAGGCTAGTTGCCAGGATGTAGAAAGTTCTTAATGATGTGTCTCGGGGATAAACATTGAATACATTTTTTAAAAGCTAAGTTGCTTTGTGCTGTTTAATATGTACTGTGCTTAATTTATAAAAGCAGGTGATTTCTACTTCTTTGTCTTTTGCCCATAGTTTGTAGTGGAAACTACAACATTTGATTTGTTTGATTTATAGAGACCATTTAAAGGTTTCTTTGTGATAAGTGGAAAATATTTTTAAAACATATTTCTTGAAGGATATGTGCATAATTAAATGTTTGAAGTTCTTTAGCGATTTGAATCATTGTTTTATGATTGTCCTTTTAAAATATAAGTTGGAGAACTTACAAAAACATCTTCACATGTGATGCTACATTTTACAGGTAAAATGAGATGATAATACTCACACTTCGAGCACGTCAATAGTTTGTATTTTATCATCAGGTTTCTTGTTACATTTACATTTTGAAACTTGTTCATGTAACATTCAAAATACATTTAGTTTTGACATCAAAATACAGTGTCACAAGACTAGTGTTGCAGCACTTGTAAGCAATCACATCATTTCATGACCTGCTGAATTAGCTGGCGTGGCATGGACTGGTAGTTAGGGGGCTGCACTTGCAATCTGTGGGTCTCAGGTTCGATTCCATTACAAAACATGCTTGCCCCTTTCAGCTGTTGGGAGATTATAATGTGATGGTCAATCCCAAACCCACTATTCGTTGGTAAAGAGTTAGAGATGGATGTCATTGACTAGTTGCATTCCCTCTAAAAATTTACTTTTAATTTAAAATTAGGGATGGTTCATGCAGATAGCCCTTGTAGAGCTTTGTACAGAATTCAACAAACACTTATATTAGCTATGTTTAACACTATAACATGTCACATTGTTTTATTGCTGCAGTGTTTTGAAGCACTCAAATCATTTCATAGCTTACTATATTAGTTTTGTGTTAACACTGTCACTTGTAGTGCTTTCAGTCACATCATTTCTTATTATAATAGTTGTGCGTTAACACTGTCAGGTGTCACAATACTTGTAGTGCTTTCAGTCATCGATTCGTATTATACTAGTGCGTTAACACTGTCAGGTGTCACAATACTTGTAGTGCTTTCAAGCATTCACATCATTTCATGGCTTACTATATTAGTTTTGTGTTAACACTGTCACTTGTAGTGCTTTCAGTCACATCATTTCGTATTATACTAGTTGTGCGTTAACACTGTCAGGTGTCACAATACTTGTAGTGCTTTCAAGCATTCACATCATTTCATGGCTTACTATATTAGCTATGTTGTAACACCGTCATGTCTCACTATTTACTGTGTAGTGCTTTGAAACAGTCATCATTTCATATTATATTAGCTATGTTTAACACTATCACATATCACAACACTATTGTTGCAGTGCTTTGAAGCAGTCTTCTTTTAATGGCTTACTATATTAGCTATGTTTGACACAAGTCACTGCATCATGGCTGAGTAAAAGTTTTTGTCCTTGTGATTTCATTAAGGAAGAAAGTTAACAAAAAAAACATATTTCACAAGCTAAGTTTCCTACTAGTGTGGAACTTAGTTTTGTAATGTTGACAATATCTTTGTATAAAGTTTCCATGAGTATACTTATAGAAAGACCCTTTTTTAAGGTTCTTTTAAATTTAAAATTATTTTGTTAAATTGAAAGACAACATACAGGATGCTTTGCTATTGTATTACATTAACTAATTGTGAATAGAAATCTTTGATATATGGCGTTTAATTAAAAAATAGAAAAATAAAAGATTCAGCGAGTCATCCTCTTTTAAACCAATACTATGTAGTATCATTGATATGATACTGGATTTATGTACAACATCATTCCAATATATAAAAAAAAACAACTCAAGACAACATTTTTAAGGACTTAAAAGAGAAAGTATCCTATTTAAATGATGAATTATTGAAACAGTTGTCATATTGTGTGATTAATTGCATCTTATTAGAACATACTTCTCTAGGTACTAATTCTTCCATTGTAACAAGCTTCTACAAAGGATGGCAAAGTCAGGCTTAGACCACACATTTGGCAAACGTTCCATAGGCCTTTCACTTATATGTAGATCATTATTATTATTATATACTGTTGTTTTTTAAACAGACCAAGTACAAAAGTTAACTGAAACTGCATCAAAAAACTTGGCAGGTATGAGGCTGAATTAGATTGTTGTGCTTCTAGTTTCTCCAGTTTTGTGTAAACTACCATTAATTTTGAGGTGCAACATTTTGGTTTGTGATCCTTTATCGACTTCAAATCTGTGTTTATTATCGTAATAGTGGTAACGGGAGGTATTACTTGACTTTATTGCAATGGCTTTTCATCTTTTGAGTTATTTTCCATGACCACAGCTTTCACTTTGTGAATGATGGTGTGGCTCTGGATTGGGTTAATTATGGAATCTGTTGTAAAGTACTTTAGTGTGGAATTTTATCGTTTCAGTGGAAAAGGTCGAAGTCTTCCTTTTCTAAAGTGTATCGTTTGACTCTACATCATTTAACAGTTTTGATCTTCAAATGTCCTTCCTTAGAAAGGGTTGCAACATTTTATTCATCCTTCGATCAATCCTTGGCAACTTTGCTCTGATGAAAACTTGGAAATGTACTGTGAACCAGATATAAACAGAACAACTTGCTTTGTTTTCACATTTGTGATAAACTGTTAGTAGGTTCTGTTGTATTATTTTATATTTTTTTTATACAAACCTTAAGCTTATTTCTTAATCACTATTGATATTCAAAGTTAGCGGTTGTAAGCTTAAACAGAAATGAATTGCAGTGAAATCATAATCAATGTTAAGATGAAATTGAAATTCTTTACAGAGAGAACTTTAGCCGACATGACAGTTTTGGAAAATCAGGGGGCCGAGGGGAGGATTTCAACATATCTGCTAAAACTGATTTTTCTCCCGTTCGTCGAGGCTCTAGAAGAACTTCAGAAAGCACTGATCGGGAAGAAAATAGAGTAATAGAAAAGTCGAGAAGATATGAAGGATCTACACCCAGAGAAGAAACAGGCCATAGTAGTGCCTCGCGTGAGAGGGAACCAAATCACCGAGGTCCAAAAGAGGTATGGAAAACAACATATGACAAACGAAGTCAAGATCGCAGAGGCAGATTCATTGAAAGGGGTAAAGGTGGAAGGCATTCAAGGGGATCCTTTCGCGGTGGACGAGGTGGTTCCTGGAATGCTGAAAGGAGCTCAGGTGCCACCATGTCTGGTAGCTGGAGCTCTGAATCAAGGAAGGTGGGTTTTTCACAAAACCAGTGGAGAAGAATGGACAGTACAATGAGTCCACAGGAAGGTATGCTACAACAAACTCAGTCTGGTATATACAGTAGTTCTAGCATGGGCTCTGGTGGTTCTATGTCTCACTCCAGTATTGGGGGATCCTACGGAGGAAATCGATACATGGGAGGACCTATGAGCAGATATTGAAAAGTTAACTGCTGTGTTAGGGACCTTTTGTTTCTGTTATTTTCTGTCTGGTTTTTATTATCAGATAATATCTTTATATGTTGTAAGATATGTCTTGAATATCAAACATTGTCTTGGATAGCTATTGACATAGTAGTGTTATTATTTTGTCACGTGTATGAGTGTATGTGTTTCTAGAATACTCGTAAACTTTGTTAAGAGCGATAACTTGCCCACAAAGAATAAACATAATCATTTGAACAAACAATGTAAGGACAAAAGTTTTAATTGCCACATTTTATGTATTTCAATGAAATTTGTGTCAATTTTTTGTAGTGTATTTCTGTTTTTCCTCATAGAAAACGTTTCCAAGAAATAAAATACATTTATGTAATGTTTCATTGTTTGATACAAAAGTAAAATGGATGCAGTGAATAGTACTTTTTGTGTGTGTGTGTGAATAGTTTCAACTTGCAAAGAAAATGTGTATTCATTGAAATCACAAAAGTTATGGTTAGTTTCCCTGAGTGTGGAATTAGACATCTTTAAATGGTCACTAATAAGAGGCTAGTTTTAAAATTTAGGATTTTTTAATTGTTATAAATGTAAATTAATAATATTTAGAACAAAGTCAAACATGTGTTTAAACCTAGATCACAGTGAATACTTGTATGTTTTAATAATACCACATTTAAAACATGTTTTCCTGAAGTTCTCTCTGTAAAAAGAAGAAAAAAAAGGCGTTTTGGCTGATGATGCATCAGATGTTTCATGTAGAATGAAAATTATTACCTCTTCAAGAGATATAACTTCCTGAACAAGCTTATTTTGTACTCACAGAGAATAAGGTGCATCTATGAAACAAATGAACAAAAATTTCTTTAGGCAGAAGTTTGCGTCTGTCTGTGTGTCCCAATCTTGTGGACAGGATATCTCAAGAGTGGATGGATTGGTTTTGATCAAACTTTTAGAACTGGTACTACATGCAAAGTTCTTAACCTGATTAAATTTGGAAGATCGTTGTTATGTAGAAAATCTTCCCCAACCTTGTCGTCATATTTCAGTACATGATGAATGGATATACACCATATTTATACAATGGTTACTACATAAAAAGTTGTGGATTGAGTTAATGTTTGAAAGTCAAATTGTCACTGGTACATAGAAAATCCACCCCATCTTGTAGACAGGTACCGCATCTGTGGTTTGCACGGGTCAAGGAGACTGGGGAAAAGTCGGTGAATTCTATATTTTGTGTTCCTTGTCCAAGAAACATATGAATTTCATTCCACGGACCAAAACCAGAAAAGTTTGGAAGCTTCTTTGGATTCAGTGATACTTCTAGGACAGGTGTCAAAAAATAAATCATTAACCCCAAAAAATCACATACAGGTTAATTTGGTGCATTTAGCACTTCAGTATGCTTATTTTACGTATAGATAATCAGTGTATGTCAGTCTTTGTTTATCATAAATTGTCATCGAGTATGTAAACAATGGGTAAGTTCTCATCTTCCTAAAAGTCGGTCTTGGAGGATTGTTTTACTACAGACTAAACTAAAAGCTCTTAACAAATTACTATTTATGAGATAGGCTGGTTCTAATGAATACGTTATTTTCATCTTGCAAATTTTAGTGCATAAATAAAACAGCCCCACTGGTGAGTAGTTGTAAAAGAAATGTGGGATATCCTGGGTGTTTTACCTCATTGTATAGGGAAGACTTGAAAGAAGGCAAAATGAACAGTTTGATTATTTCAGTAGAAACAAGTGTACACAGTTTTGATGAATATTTTCTTTTTATTTCCTATAGGTACTTATATTTATTCAATTAATTATCAAAAATAACTGACAATTATAAAATGATCTATCAGTAATTTTGTTTTAATTCGTTATAAAACAAAATATACACCACTCAGCATTACATAGAGCACACGTTGTTATGATGCCTACATCTTGGGCAGGGGTCATTGAGAGGCTATATCTTATAGAAACAGGTAGAATATTGCCAGTGAAGGTTAATGAAGACTTCCATTAAAAAAAATATGGATAACAATATATAAGAAATTTGAATTAAAAAATATTGAAATCCAGAATTGACAGTAGCTAATGATATGGTATATGTAAGATTTTCTGAGGATACTGAACTATGTGTTATTCATAAACCTGATAACCTATAAAGAATAAGAGATTTTAGTAATGTATTATGAAAATTTACTATTTGTCAAGCAAGATGCTGGGAACAGAAAAGACTAAAGATGAACATGTACAACTTGAAAGAATTGTATTAATAGTTTTTTGAAATTATGGGCTTTAAGACCATTGTGTGCTCTTCAGATTGAGATATTAATTACTGTGTAGTGCTAATATGGTGAAGTACAGGCAATTTGTAGCATTTTTCATTCTGTCTAAATCCAAGGTCCATAAAAGAAAAAAAGTACTTTAAGTAAAAGTTTTACTTAATAATAGTTTTTATTTTATATATAATAAGCAGCATTATGCAAGAAAAAAAACAATTTAACTCGTGAATCAGTTGAGTGGTGTAATGCTGTTATGCAAACTTTCAGTGATAAACATGTTAGCGTGCGGTAACATTAGAGTCTGTGCCAGTTACTGTAGCCTCTTCGAGGATGATTATACATCATGATGGCATAAGAGTAATGTAACTATAAACATTGTGGATGTTTTATCATCAGGTCTGGTTCCATTTATAAGTGTCCTGTATGTATAATTAGAATTTACAACTGTTATTCGCAAGCATAATGTGGTGATCTCGTGAACAACTTGCATAAACCTGAAAATATTTGTAAATTAATAAATATATGGTCACATTAATTCATATATTTCAACACTTTTGATAACAGATTAACTTGATATGCACAGTTTCAAAGCTTTTGTAAAAATAATAGAATGCACTACATAACAGTGGATGATTTCGTTAACATGTGCAATTGTTTTATAGATATGAGAAATATGAATATACTACAGTATATGGTTAGCAAGTAAGTTTCATGTGTACTTGCATCATAAAATATGTGACGTACGAGATGCATACTTGTTAAATGATATTCCGTTTTAGGACAATGAACAATTTGCTCCTTCCACGTGTTTAAAAATTGAAGTGTAATAATCACAATTGTTAAAACCTGTAGTGTTGTGTCTGCCTTAACGTTCTTCTTGATGTAAATTAAAGCGTGTGTTTGGTTGGTATGCACTATCATAAATGGATGAAGTGTAATAATCACAATTGTTAAAATCTGTAGTGTTGTTTCTGCCTTAACGTTTTTCTGGATGTAAATTAAAGCGTGTGTTTGGTTGGTATGCACTATCATAAATGGATAAACTTCCTTTGTTGCGCATGTTCTGATAAAGTATGAATAATGTGGGAACAGCATGACCAATTATATTGAAACTTTGCAAGATGACATACAGCCTGTTTTGTCCTTATTAAAAATACGTAAATATTTTGTATTTTTACATTTCATTATAGGTAATGATACATTACAAGCATAGATCAAATTTTCAAGGACTTTCATTCTGTCAAAGTGTGGGGGAACCATGTACTTTATCTAATTGGGGTGACTTAAACATAATTTGCACTTGTTATTTTAAGGTCCTAATATCATCCTGAAAAAAGAAACTTGGAAAAAAAATTGTTGAAAGGTTATGTGGTCAATTGTGGCTACATATCTTGAAGGAAAACATGCATTTGCCTAACATTGAAGATGACCTTGCTTCATACTTAACTTTTCAATTTGGAAGCTAGTTAATATTCAGCAGAATCAGTTTCTGGCTCTCTTATTTCAACGTTGTGTTAGCTAAATTGTCAGAAATCAAACAAAAAAGGCTAAGTTATGATTATGGCTATATTTGGAATGGACTACTTGAAGAGCTTTGCATTGAGGCCCTCCACTAACTGTGGTCATTAGATTCTAAGATCACATTAAGTAAACCAAACTTACAAGGGTGTGTTATCAATTAACTTCATATGGATGTCAGAGACAAGGTTAAGAATAATAGTTTCAAGTGAAATCTTTATGTATACATTTGTGCATAGGTGTGGTATTAAAACTGGCTTCATAACAAAACCTTCTCTGAGAAGCTTTGCAATAGATATATTTTTAGATTATTTCACTCATTATTGTTACAGGTGATAAAAATTAAAAGCCAAACCTAAATTTTTCCACAATCTGGTTTTAAAGTACTGTATAAGTTGGTGATGTACACTCCAAACTCTTCGTGATTAAGTGTAGAAGGTTGCTATTAGGTATCTTCTGGAAAAGAAATTTTTGTGCAACTATGTCATTATATTTTCATTAAGAATTGTAATGTACTCTGCAGAAGATTGATCACAGTTGGCAAGAGTGAAATGTGCATGTTAGTGCAGTGGGGGTTTTGAGTAATTGTGTATTTGGTTTGTAGCAATTTATAGATTGTTTAACTGCAGTTTCACCACGCGTGGACTGGTGCTGGAGGTTTGTGATCCAAACTTTTCCAAGAAAAGATATACATGTAGTGAAAGAGCAAAGATATTCAAATCCTGATGCACACCAACTTTATATATGACAATTTAATAGCATTGGCAGGGGAAACCCATACAAAGATGTAAGATGAACATATAGTCACAGGCAGGACTGCCACTAATGTGTCTTGCTCAAGCTCAAAGACTAGTTGTCCAGGAACCCAGATTTGGGAAATGATTACTGACAAGTTGCACATATCCCAGTCAACTGCACAAAATAATTCACTGAAAATCTTGCTCTTCTTCAAGAAGGATCAATGAATGCACAAACCACTCCTTACATCCGTTAATGAAAACAAGAAACTGCAGAAAACTGTATGAATATGTGAAAGGTGGAAACCCATAGAAATGTTGGTCTGGGTGTACTTTAATTACTGTAACAGGAAATTGTCAGTTTACCACCAACTGTAAAGACTTTCCAGTATGATACAGAAAAAAGTATAGTTTTGTGGTTACTGTGGGTTTTTTCTTATAATTGAAAACTACAGAGTTTACAGTAAAATAAATGGAAAACCTTAGTTGCTACAGATAAAAGAAAATTTAAAGATTAATATAGAATAAACAAAAAAAAATGCATCTTATGTATAACTTTTGGGTAGTAAGTTTAAAAAGAAAACTACTTTTGTGGCAAATACTGGTGTTCAAATTAGTACATTCAGAAATACGGATCTATTTATTTTAAACCTTAGCTTTTGGAATGATTGTGGTCATTTGTTAGAAGCATAATATACAGTTTATACTTCTGATGAAGGCTTGTAATCAGTCTGAAACAGAGATTTAGAGTATCAGTTTCTACATATATGTAGTTTAGTAAAAACTGCAATGCTGGAATGATAAAATGCACCTTACTGAGACATAGGACTACAGAGTAAAAGGGATTCACTTTCTGTGACATGTAACTACTACTTACAAGCCTTGCATTTGGGAAGCAATTTAAATTTAGGGAAGTCAGGGGAGCTTATGCCTGCAATGCTTCATGTATAAACTTCCATTCACTATATGTGACTAGTTGCTCTGAAACAGAATTAATGTAACTGTTAAGGCAATTGGGTTTAAAAAATGAAATATGTATTTATTTTGTTAGTTATGGTAGTATCACAAACATAGGGTAGGAGGTGGTTACCCACAATAGAAGAAAATAGCAGTTACAATTTTTTAGCAGAATAATTGAGATTTTACCACCAGAGGCATTGCTAGGTGCTTAAACGATTTGGGGCTCAGGCCCATAGGTGCAGGAATTTTCGGTGTTTCAGTAAGATATCAATCATGGTTTTCTATTCTGATCTTTCAAGACAAAAAAGATCTAAGAAAAAGATGTGCTTCTGAGAATGAACAGATTTCAGCAAAAACATGAGGAAAAAATGGTTTGGATTAGTAGCCTAAGACCTCAGCAAACACCTAGGGCAGATGATGAAAGTGAGACGATCTAAAACCATGTTCAGAAACACAAACTTAACTATGAAGGATGAAATGTTTTGTGGGTCCATATAGTCAATTGAGAAGATCACTTACCCCAAATATTAACATGGGGACATTAAACTTGTTTACTAACTGCTTCAGGTAACCTGAAATCTAGCCATAGAATAGGTAGCCTAAGACCTCAGCAAACACCTAGGACAGATGATGAAAGTGAGACGATCTAAAACCATGTTCAGAAACACAAACTTAACTATGAAGGATGAAATGTTTTGTGGGTCCATATAGTCAATTGAGAAGATCACTTACCCCAAATATTAACATGGGGACATTAAACTTGTTTACTAACTGCTTCAGGTAACCTGAAATCTACATGCACTAGAATGAAACTGTCTAGTTTTCTGCGAATAGCTGGTCATCCATGTTATTGTAGTATGCAAGTATACTAGGTTTTTTGTTTACCTCCAGTTTCTAGTAAGGTGAACTCTTACTGAAGTTCACCTAAAAGTTTCAAAAAGATTCACGCATGCTGTGGAATGTAGTTCTTTTTAATTTAATAATCTTTTGTTCTGGGTCACTCTCCTGTGAGTGTCATGTGCATCATTGTTAGAAAGATTGCTGTAAGGTAGAACATGCTAAGTGAAAGCTGGCAGTGTCCGAGATGTTTTCTACTGGATCAGGAGACATCCACCCATATTTTTGATTGAAATGACGAACTGCAAGTAAGTAATCCATGCACCATGGATAACATTGTAGAACTATTTGTATAATACTGTTTTTTCAATCTGGAACAGATTTTCACCAGCTTCCAACAAACTTAGAGAACATAGACTTATGAAAGTTTTCAATCTCCTGTAAAGGTGCTGTCTTCCACCTGCGTGCTTCGTTTTTACTGAATAAAGATTGTTTTCACTATTTTTAACATAGTGTCCAGTCTCTTTCTCTCCTCTAAACTTTAGTCAAACCAAGATGACTCATTTTAACTCTGTAATACATTTTCTATCAGATCTCTCAGTTGTGGGTTTTAATGAATCTGTTGAGGAAAACAGTTTATCTGGAAGTACCACATTATTGTACAAAAGGAGCTTTAGAGATTCTGAAGGAACTTTGAAATGGTCAATACAATAACCTAAATACGCTTCCTTTCTTTGAACAATTTCTAGAGAGAATGGATTATGCACAGTAGTTCAGCTTGTTATACCTGGCTTCTGGTTATTGACATTGAAACTACATAAGGCCACATGGCGGTTATAAGAATTTTGTGCTTTTCAAACTGAAATACCTCAGTCAAAGGTGAAAGAATGATAAAAGTATCACTGCAATCAAAATGGTGTTCAGAAAGACCTACATTTACTGTGGCTCTTGGGAAATAAACACTTTTAGCCACTAGAGCAGTGATTCCCAACCTTTTCACCACCAAGGACCACTTTCATTATTTATTTATTTTTTTCCCATGGGCCCCATTCTATGTCCTTTCGTGCACTAGAGATTGATAAAAATCTCAAAAGTTGCATACTTTATGGTACTGGAAACTGGTACATAAAGCATGATTGAATTGTAATATTGATAATTGTGACATTTGTCATTGAGTAGGCTTAGTTTATCTGAGCAGCAGAAGATGTAATACTCAATTAGTTAACTGTTTGATTTAAATATCAGGATTTTGTCACCAAAAAGGAGCTTAGATTTTCATACATTTTTACTTCTTTAAATATGTGTTAAATCAATAGAAGCTTGAACAAACTGACTAGAGAGTTAAAATCAAAGTACTTTTCATTAGGTTATAGTAATACATTAGTGTAAGTCTGCTTACTGAAATATGAAAGAACTAGTTTAGTTGTTCAAATTTACTTCTTCCTTGTCATTCACATGTTGCATAAGCACTTTCCATTACAAATTTTAAAAACCTTTATTTAATACTGCCATAAAACTTGTATAGATTAATTAATTTTATATTTGACTAGAAGAGGCATCTTCATAAAGCTCAGCTTTCTTGATTTAAGGTTTATGTTTTGTTCCGTTAGAAAATTTAAATATATATGTGCATGTGATGAAAAACATCTCGTGTAATATGTATCAGTTTATTTTGATCTGAGAATACATCACACAAAAGATTATTCAAAAGAAGATACTGGTTTAATACAAGAAGGTTCCTTCATTGTATATTGTTGTAAGTAGATAAATATACATTCAAAACACCTTTTGGATAAAACTATTCCAAACATTGTAATTAAAAAAAAACTATCAGTTAGATATTAGAAGGTGAGATAAAATATGCATTTTCATTTATTAATATTTTATGTACAGTTTTTAATTTTGAAAATTTCTTTATTCATTACAAGGTGTTTAAGGATTGGTTCATATACACTATAGAAATGGACTTAACCAGATTTCTTACATCCTGCAATTCTTTGCTTTTTTTTATACATTTGTAACCATTTTATAGTTACTTAAAATGAACAATTCGATCACTGTAATAACAGTGGTAGATATTTAGTGGGCAAGGAAAATAAATAAATTATTATACTGTATAAAAGCGAATGATTTATAATTTTCTTCATTTAGAAAGACAAGTGAATAAAAGTACTACAATATTAATCTTTAATCACTTAAGTACTGTACAGTAATACAAATTATTTCCTTTTAATATCGTAAAATTATTATACAAAGAATAAATTTTCTTGATTTATAATTTCAAGTTTCCTTATGTGATTAAATTCCTTATTAATTAACTTCTAATATTTGGTCTAATTATCAGGCAACATAAGTTTAACGCTTTTGTTAACAAACATGTTCTCTGTAATCAAGATGTTAAAATTTTGTGTCGGAATATCATTGTCAGTTGTTGGCACATACTAAAAACAGACATTGTTCACTGGAAAATCTTGATTCATGATAAACTGGCGAGTTCCTAGAGTTACAGAAAAAGTATGAGAATTTTGCTCAAATGTCCAGTTAATCATTATCTTTACCTGAATTTTAACTAATCGGTTGTATCACTGGTTAATGGAGGTTAAAATTTTTGTTGAAAAGTTGAATTAATAAGGATTTACATTATATACGTATTTGAATGTACATTTAACTTGTTCCTTAGCAGCATGAGCAACTGAAAAAATGTAGCAATGGTAATTTATTTAAACTATAAAAACTGAAAATAAAACTTAATCAACCTGCTTTACTTCATTAAGTGCTTAGAATTGGACTCTGTCTGTTAATTATTCACTACATTATTTAATCAGAAAAAATATATATGTACATATAAGTTAACTAGTATCCAAAATATCAAAAGCACTTCTGCACAATTTCAGAGTTTGATTTTAATTATCAAGCTCATTATACAGCTATTCACATCTCATCAGATGGATGCTTTAGTTCTGAGAGGCATCTATTTATGTATATGTTTTTCTTTAATTTGGGGGAGCAACTCCATGTGTGATTTTTTTGTGTATGTTCTTGGCATATTTATTTATTCCTCAGAAACTTGGATCATAAAAAGTTGTTCTCACAAGAACCTTTAATTTTTTTAACTATTCAACAAAAAAAGAGTAAAATGGATCATCACTATTATTTTTTGTTTGTTTTTTTAATTACACATTCACACTTTTGATTGTTACAATAAAACTCTCTCTAAACAAGGTTGGAGTATTTTCACTGGGACCAGGAACACTTTGAGAAGGAGATCTAATATCTGTAGATAAGTACTTTGGTTCAATTGAGCCACGGTCTGAGTAGCCTCTGTCTTCACATATAGCTTCAGACTCGGGGCATGAAAGATAATCTTGTTGTTCAGAAGTATCCCTCATGGACGTTTGACTCTTATCTATTGGAAGTGTGTGACCAGATGCTACAGCTGTTGATGAACCTGAAAATTTGCACCCAATTTCTCCAGGTAGCCGAGATTCATCACAGTGAAGATGGTGCTCATCTTTAGGAATGTCTTGATGGTTGAACAACAACTGGTTACTTCCATAAAAGTGTTGCTCATCTTCTGGAAGGGATGGTGCAGAAGTTGCATCAGAAGAAAGGCTATCAAAATTCAGAGGGCTGCTGTCTTCATCTAAATCAAAATCTGCAAAATCTTGAGAGGTTGAAGTATTATCACTAGAAGGTATTTGAAACAGTATACTTGCAGCTGTTGGAGAGTTGGATAGGCTTAGGTTTGGCATGGATTGGGCATACATTTTATCATTAAGAGTTACATTCTCAGTAACAGGAGTAGAAGGACTAGTAGCTATCATGATACTAGATTTAAAGTCTGAAGGGTGTTCTATAAAGGTTGCTTGGAAACTTAAGGAAGATGGAGAAGGATCTGTTGCAGAAGAGAAATTTTGGCTGTCTTCATCATACATGTCTCTTTCAGAAAATGTTTTATAGGTTAATTTATCACAGATTGCGTTTTTTATCTCCTGAAACTTGGAGAGGTCCTCCACAGAACATTGCAAAACATTCTTAATCTCACAGCATGACTCAATCATGGAAAGGTTATTAGAGTGATGTTTCTCTTGATTCATTTCATTAAGTTTCTTTGATAAACACAAGGGAATATTAGATAAAGATTTGAATAGATTTGGGTCTTTTTTCTTTGAACTTCTGGTTGGTAGGGTATTAAATATTATGTCATCTTTTTGAACAATGTAAGGTACATGCACTTCAACAATGCAGGAATTATCTTGTTTATCTTCATCCAGTTCAGCATCATCATTGTTGCAGATATTCAATAAATTGTTACTTATGGTCAGAGTAATTCCATCAGATGAAGAGAAGTGACACATTAACTTCCTTTCTGACAAAGGTGTGCTTATTTTGGAGCAACTGGATGCAGCACCATTTGTTTCGGGTTCATGTACTTGAGATTCCACAGTCACAACTGTAGTATTTGGAGGTATACCCAAGTTGGTTTCTTGTTCATGTGAGAAACCATTTTGTCTCATGTTCCCTGAACCAAACTGTAAACCTGAAAAGTTTTCATTAGAAGGTGGATGAGAATAAGGAGGTGGTGGGCCCCACATGTGTCGAGGGATCTCGAAATTTTCAGTTGGTGCGAAGGAAGGGCTATATCGAGCTGAAGAGTTGATCTGTAAATGGTGAAAAATACCATCATTAGAGCGAGTTCTTCTATGTGTGACTAATGGTCTAGTTGAACCTGTAGGTCTGGAATAGGCACCAAAGCGCTCTTGAGCTGCTGTAGCACGTACATGAGGACGAAACATGTGACCAGTATTATTTCTCCATGGAGATGCCTGGGGAGAATCTGGTCGTAGGGGAGACTCTTGTGGGGTGGATGTCGAAGGAGAAGTTGTTTCCTCCCTCCATATTTCTCTAGAAATTAGTCTTCTGATAAAACTACTTCTCACATTGCTAGTAGAGCCACGGGTGTTGATAATTCTGTTAGTAGCACTACGCAAAGGCCAGGGAAGCCATCTCCAGTTAGTTTGTCGCTGACCACCACTTTGTGCACTGTTTGCCAGTACTTGTGTTACTTGAGGAGGAGATTCTTCTTGGGTGAGAGGAGTTGAGTTCAAATGTTGAGCACTAAGAAAACGGTAATCCAACATTTCCCACAGAGGCCATGGATACAGGTCCTCGTAACAGCTGCAAAGTGGATGATTTGCATGGCGGGCATAGATGAACCTTCTTCTTAACTCCAACTAGAATGGAGCATACGAGAGTATATTTATGAAAACTGATTAATACATACATATGTTTGACTTTTCATACTTTTTAACATGTTAAGGATATTTGAGAATAGGTGAAAAACCACAGTAAATGAAACTGTCAGAAGTCTGATAGTAGAGAAACTAGAAGACAACGCGAGACTGAAGAGGATGCACGAACATGTCGAAACTAGTTTTTCTAATATCAAACTTCTGACAGTTTGTTCCATTTTCTTTGGGTTTTTTTCACTAATTGTTATTTTTATCATTATTTGAGAATAAGCATATCTTTTCGAGATTGAAATTTAAAATAAAATTAATGCATCAAGCATAGATACCTTAGCGCTTATAGTAAGATTTATAGACACAGGTATCAAAAATATATTTATAACTTTACACATGACCTTAGAAATTATTTGCTATCATATTTTTAGTAAATTTTGTGGTACAATCTTATGCTAAAATGCCCAATAGCAGTTCTGCTAAGTTGTTTAGCAAGTTTCTTTTCTTTCTTAGGACTTCAACATATCTTTTTAACAGTTTTAATGTGTACCAATATGATTAAATTCAGAACATTATGTTTTAACAAGTGGTTCTTCTAATAGGACAAGTTCAACATTACCCACTTCCAAGGTGTCTTATTTATATTACCTTCTAATACTATTTACTAGACCAGCTCTAATAAAACGGTACTGGGAGATTTGATTTATCGTAAACATTATGTGATACCGATATCTGTCTTTAATAAAGTGAGTGAGCATGAAGGAAATTCATATTAAAATTATTTCCTAATGTTACTAATACACAAAACATTAAATTCTAAACAAACAAACAAAGCATCCTAGGTAAAGATGTGTCTGGTGTAACATTCCCAATATTAAATTTTATGATTTGGTCAGTATTTGAATTAGTGTTTATTGCTTATTATATCGGGAATAAACATGAAGGGGAGGGGCTTATGTATGGAAGCATGTTCTGCTGATACAATACTGTATTGACCAACAATGACTTATAAGCTTACCTAAAAATGACACTCTAATGTTCCATTTAAATATAAAGTAGATTCTCTACATAAAACAAAAAAGGCTTTAAAATTGTTTAATTCACTATTAATGAAAGGAGTGTAACACATGCCAGGATTTCCCAACCTGCTTTCCACCCGAGTAGCCAGGCAATTTTTTTGGGATCCATGTTCTTCTGGGTGGTGAGGGTACTGTTTTTATGGATTTCAGTAAAGTGTAATTGTGCTCTTATAAATAATTTTAAAACTGAAGTATGTTGATGTTTTACTGTGTCTTGTTCTGTGACACATCCTGATACCTGTTGAGAACCACAGTTTGGGAACCTCTTCCGAGTTCCAGATGACATTTTGCCTAAAGTACAAGTATTGCTCTCAATCAGTTAATGGCATCAAATAGTAATTTTTCCTAACTCTTGAAATCTCATCGTAATGAATGAAATATTGATGAATTTCACCCTTTCATAACTACTACAGAATGTATCTTTATTCAGATAAATCTTCGATCCACTTTTAGTATGATACTGTATTGTTAAAACAAATGTTGCAAGATCTTGAATATGTATTAATCCTTTAATCAGATAAAGCTTTGAATGCCAATGGTAAGAAATCTGTGTCACTTTTGCCCTGTGTGGTGGTTCAGCTTCTTGTACAGGTTTATAGGAATTAGTGGTTTTCTACACTATAAATGTTACTTGTAATATTTGGTGATGTATGTTGCACTGGATTCTGGTATACAGCATTTTTAACATTTTGTCAGAATTTTCGTCAGTAAATGAGAAATCCTCATGTCTTTTTTTCCTGCATGGACATTTCATATCAACCCCAGCATTCAGTAAAAGTCATAGGAAAGTTGAAAACCAGCCAGTAAGCAAAATAAACAACTATTATGAACAAAGATTTTGTTCACTTGTGTTTATTCATGTTTGGTGGCCTGGTGGTTAGGGCATTCGACTGGCAATCTGCAGGTCGTGGTTTCAAATCTCCATCACACCAAAAATGCTCGCCCTTTCAGCCGTGGGGGCATTATAAAGTAATGGTCAATCCCAATATTCGTTGATAAAAGAGTAGCCCAAAGTGTGGGTGGTGTTGACTAACTGCCTTTCCTTTAGTCTAACACTGCTAAATTAGGGACAGCTAGTACGGATAGCCCTCATGTAACTTTGCACAATATTCAAAACAAAATAATCACCTTTTATTTATTCTCTGCATTTTAGAATAAATGCAAGACTGAGGAAAATATGGTATATTTTATTTGATTCTTTGCAGTTCCATTTATTATTTTGTTATATAAGTGCAACAAAATTTAAGGCTACTGATAGAATTCTTAATATTTCATTCAGTGCCATAGGCATGTTTAAACTTATGGCATCAGAAAACACAATTTCTTTGTATTATTCAGGGATCTATGCCAGACCCTTTCCCATTCAAAACAAAACAAAAATTCTTTGATTACATAAGTGAGGAAAAAATTTTATTTGATTAAAGTGTATCAGCCATTGATACATTTTCTCAAATAGTAAATTATATTTACTTACAGATATAATTAAACTTTAATTGTGGCTACAATAATTAAAATGATTTTTTTGCTGATTTTACATAGTCAAGTTAAGAATAAATTAATATCATTTATGCTTTGCTTATGAATCTAGTAGTATAAAAAATAAGTCAAGAAATCAAAACTATTCCAGTACAAAATAAATGCTAGAAAAACCATCTGCTGGCCAGTTATTCGGAGTGATCATGATGAAATAAGCTTGGTGACAGTTTTGAGCAAGGTTTATCTCCTCAATTCTTGAAATTGTTACAAGTATCCATTGCATAGTTTATGTTATGACTGGAATAGCTATAAATTTCACCTTTCCATAACTTGTATAGAATACATCTACTCATGATGTCATTTTTCTAAATTTTTGTGCAGGTGTTCTGCATGTAGTATGAATTCTTGTTAACCAAATGTAAACACAACACACTAATCTTTTTACTCAGGTAAACATTGCATACTTTTATGGCTAGAAACTCGTACCATTTTTGCCCTGTGTCTGTCCTTCTTGGTGAGGGGTAAAAGTCTATCTCTAGGGGCAACATAAATACTTGTACAAATTGGTACGAGTTAGGGGTTTTTCTCCCATATAAATATGATTTGGAAAAGTCAGTGATGTATGTAGAATTGGGTTCTGGTATACTGGCCTTCCAGAGGTAAGTTTGTAGCTATAACACTAGAAACCAGGTTTGAATGCCCATGGTGGACACAGCATAGATAGCCCAATGTGTAGCTTTGTGCTTAACTACAAACAAACAAAGTGGTATACTACACTTTTATCATTTTCGTTTGAAATAGGCATGGTAGGTTAGAATTTCTTTTATCTTGTGTGGACATATGTAAATAGCCTCTCACTCCATCAGCCAAAAAAGAGTCAAAATAAAACCTGTAAGCCAGTTAGTGAGTAAAAACAAAATTTTATTTATTCTCTTGTGTTTGTGTTTGATTTATTCTTTGCATAACATTTCTGAAATCTGTGTTTTGCGGATATCAGTGGACCTGAATACCATGCATCTGATTTGTGATTTTTCATACCCTAAGTTATTTACCTGTTCCCAGTAAATTTTTTTCTTCTCATGACTCAGAAGCTGGTAGACTAACATGGAGGAGAAAATACAGATTAAAATACCAATAACAGAGAGGCCAAACAAAACTCGTAGGCTTGTTGACAGGCTGCCATGGACGACATCACAATTGGGGGTATTGTTGAACACAAATCGAGGAGTTTCTACAAGGGGAAAAAAAAACACACTGTATCTCAATGCAATAGATTATTTTTAGTACACATCTTCTTATTGAGGAATGTATATATTACATAATCAATGAACATTTCATCATAAAGATATTGGTAAGATTAGTTAAACCTGCAAAAAAAAAAATAATTCTCAAAATACGTGCAATACATTATATGAAACTTTATTGAAGAGTTTTTTTAGGAAAGTATAAAACAGAAACAGTACTTTTTTTGTTATTCATAATTCAAAAATCAAAAAGTATGTTTCCTTCTCTAGAATATCATGGCTGGCCCCTGGGTCTAACAGTATTTCTTGTACCATGATGGAAATAATGTTTGGAAACTGATAAAACCAAATCAACCTTTAATAATATGAGAAATACATATTAATTTTTCATTCTTTTCCTAATTTTATTAAATTAAGCTTGTTTGCGACAGCCCATGCAACATGTATTGCTGTATTTGACAGGAATTGCTCCTCACGAAACTAATACAAATACATTGTATTCTCACCTGATGATGTGCCAGGATCTGGTATTGCTGTATTTGACAGGTATTGCTCCTCACATAGCTAGTAAATATACACTGTATTCTCACCTGATGACGTGCCAGGATCTGGTATTGCTGTATTTGACAGGTATTGCTCCTCACATAACTAATACAAATACATTGTATTCTCACCTGATGACGTGCCAGGACCTTGTATTGCTGTATTTGACAGGTATTGCTCCTCACATAGCCAATAAACATACACTGTATTCTCAC